CGTGTTGGGTAAAGTTCTGTAACCGGTGCTGCTAGTCTGTCAAACAATGTCAAGCGATGAGGACGATTTACTGCTGGCGAGTGCGGGGTTTTTAATAATGAATTCTTTAATTTCAAAGAAAAAGAAGAAAAACGGCCTAGGCGTTGGTGGGTAACAACACCATTTAAAAATAGGAGTTTGTATAGTGGCAGTCCCTTACTAGAGGAACTTCAAAATGAAGATGATGGACATTTTAAAAAGGCAGACAAACGACTAAAAACTAAAATCGCGACAAATCCTGTCCAGACCACATCAAATTTCCCTTAGATGTACCGCTCACCGAGCGAACGCAATCGAACGCCAACAGCGTCATTAGAAGCGGTTGGAAACCGTTGGGTTGCGCGGTACACACCAATCCCAACACCTCCAAATCTGTAACCACAGGCTTGCGTTGGAAACTCGGTCTGTACGCGCCTATACGCTATTTTGATCATAAATGTAGAATAACTTAAAAAAAATAATTTTATTATTTTCCCAGATTTCCATAAATAAATTTTAGATTATTGAAACGTTATTGGTACTTTCAAAGCAAGCAAAAAATATCATGAAGAATAAATTTTTTTCATAAATCAATATTTTTAAAAAAATTCCCTCTTGTATACCCCATCGCTTTACACACTGTATAATTAGGTATATGAAGTAAATGATTACGGTCGAATATACTGCCTAGTGGTTCAAAAAAATATTTCATTTATATTAATTTGGATATATACGAATTTTATTGTTGCATAAATATTCAATACACATCCAAATGCAAATATTTATAAAAAAATATTTTCTAAACATTTGTAATATTTAACAGATATATAAATATTATGTACATATTGAATAAATGTTTGGTGCTACTAGGGGTGATTCTAAGGTAGTGTAGTAGAAAAAAGAGTTTTGTTACGGATAATACAGGTAATGTGTCGAAAATGCGCAAAAACCTCAACTTACTTGCCAAGGATTTAAAAATTCCTGGAATTACTGAACATATTTTGAAAGTTATAAAATTCTTTCGAAACAAGCACATACCAACCTCTCTTTACAAGGATATGGGGGGAACAAAATTGATTGTACCACTAGAGGTTCGTTGGAACACAATGAGTGCTGCAATTAAATCGTACCGTATGCAACGTGATCAAACAACAATAGGAATTTCTGTAGAAACATGGCATAAACTGGAGCAGGATTTGAAAGATCAGCCTACTACAATAACTACGCTACTTCAGAAAAGGAAGAATATGGCCTTTAAAAAAGCTACCTATATTAACCTAAGCAACACTAATTATTGAATTATAATAATGTAATATTAAAATCGTAAGTCAAAATCCCCAACCGATACGTTCTATGGTTTATTATTTAAGTAAGTAAAAGCGTCAAATTACTCCAAGTGCTCTCGCTAGCTTGGACGCAATCAGCTAAAATGAGTCAGACATGTCCCTCTTACAACATGAAAAAATGTACTTACGTTTTCATTTTTAAAATAGGATACTTATGGTATTTTCCGGCACATCTCTACTTCTAAGGAATTCTTCTAAATCAGTTTCTTCCTATGGGAAAATTACATTATTTGTGTCGAATGATAACGTATAATTTTGAAAATAATAAAAAAATTTTAGATCGAAACGTTCCTCTCTTCTTATATAAAATAGTAAGTATGATTAATTACGTTGCACTCCATATTTTTTATATGTAGTTATTTATATCTTGGATAAAAAAATAACTGGATTGCTAGCACAGTCAAATTAATGAAGCCAACATCTAGAGCGCCATCACAGAGCAGTCGTGCGTTTTGTGAAACGAAATTTGACACACGTCAATGTTACGAGATTTCATTTGGGTGTTTTATAGCGATTTTATAGGTGCGTTCGTTTATCCGTGCTGAACACTCTTTTTGTTCTAAACCGTTCGTTTATTGATGCACCTGAAAACTAGTTGACACTGTAGCGTTCTTTTATTACAAAACGGAGTAAATGGAGTTAACTCCATTCACTCCATCTCATGAGAGGGTGCAGATGGAAACAATCGGCGTGATCACGTGGACGGTGTTTATTTTAACCTAAAAAAATACGAGCCACGTTTGTCAGCCTTTTCATTTTTTCTATTACGATGAATATTACAACGCATTCACATGATGTTGTGTACGACGAACCAACAGGGGGTGTTATTACTAATGAAAATGGGGATGTACTCTTATCTCAAATAAGCGGTAAGAGTCCTGTGTGCATAATGCATTTCTTTTGTTAAAAATTATTGTATTAATTTAAGATGGGACCTTGATGTATGTGCCCGGTGAAGAGGTAGCTGAAATCTTTCAATTGACCTTTCAGCATGAGACAACTGAGGGCACAACTGTACCCCAAGATTGTATAGAAAACGAACAGGTAAGATTTCCGTAGAATAAACCAGCATACACTTTGCAGGCAAATGTTATTGTAATGACGAATATCTAAGTATTGTATATGAAATATTACCATTTTAGGATAATCCATCTCTTGGGGATTACGAAACTGATGAAACGGCATCGACAGATAAAATGAACTGGTCACGACAAAACACATTGTTATTAATTGATCAGATCAAAAACAGAATAGATGACTTTGATAGTACATTAAAAAAGATAGTGTGGGAAAAATTGCTACAGCACTATCAAAGGCGACCAAATTAACCATTACAGCCAAAGCTTGTGAAGGCAAGTGGAAAAGTCTCAAACGCACATACAAAACCGTTGTGGATCATAATAACAGCACAGGACGCAACCGAAAAACATGGGAGTATTTCGAAATAATTCACGATATTTTATATAAACGTCCCGAAGTTAACCCTATTGCTACGGCTAGTAGCAGTGCAGGCATAAAAACAAGCAACGGATCTCCTTCTACATCTTCACGATGTGGTGTCTATGATAGACCAACGACACAAGGAGAAACTTGCCAGACAAGACAAATTTTTGAATTTATTTGAACAATTAATCCAGAAATTGTAAGTTACGTTACTTAAGAATAGAATTTATTCATTTTGAACACTTATTAATAGAATATCGTTATTTTATCTTTTTATTATCTTATTATTTCTCGTTTATTACATAATAAAAACTATATTTAATTGTTAAGTATCATTGCCAATGAATTCATAATCTCCTGTCGTTTTGCTATTGCCAAGTTATTTCTAAATGCTATGTTGTGTATTTCAACATCATTCATTTCCCTTTCTTCTGCTATTTCTACAGTTATGTCTATCAATTGTCTAAATTCATCCTTGCATAGAATGCATAAGTTATGCAGGATTGTTGCTGCCATAATCAATAATACAATATATTCGAGCTTCACAGTTTCTATGTATTTCAGTCTTCTAAAGCGACCTTTAAGGAGAGCAAACGCGTTTTCAATTACAACTCTTGATTTACTTAACACAACATTAAAATGTTTTTGTTGCCTAGATAACCGACCGGTATCTTTAAAGGGAACCATTAAAACAGTTTGTAAAGGGTACGCTTTGTCCCCAAGTAAGTAAAACTCTCCTACATAGGCAGCACCTGTACTTATATTATTACACAAATCTGATCGCTTGAATAATGCTGCATCGTGTACAGATCCGGGATAGCCGGTGTAGACATCAGTAAATAACATATCTGCATTGCACACAGCTTGCAACAACACAGAATGATAGCCCTTTCGGTTTATGTATGACGTGTGATGGTCCTTTGGCGCATTAATCCTAATGTGGCAACCGTCAATGGCTCCAATTACTCCTAGAAGAATGGATTTAAATACCTAATGTACGGGATTTCTACTAACCTCTCATTCCAAAACGTTGCTGAAAACTGTTAGATGTAACTTGCAAAGAATTGGGTGATGGCCATGCAATCAGTCGATGTTGCAAGCTTAATTGTACAAGCATATTACAAATCTTGTAAAGTACCATCCAACAAGTGGATTTACTTATACCAAATCGATTGGCAACAGATCTGAAAGACGGTAGTTGTTAGAGAACAACCGGAAATTTAAAATCTTACTTGATACTTTCCATGTTTGCCAAATACCACACCACAACCATGCACCCTTTTTCAATGCTTATTTCGGGCCGGCCTGGACATACAACACGTTGTTGGTCATTCATAAGCATACCGTGAAGTTTTTGTAGTAGCACTTCGAAAACGTTGACATCCATACGGAAATGGCGTTGAAATTGCCGGCTGTTTATCGATGGTACAATCACTTCAGCAAATGAATATATTTTTGGCTCATTGTTGTGATCATCATCATCTGAATCACTGTCAAAGAATAACAAATTGGTACCCTCGTGGAGGACTACAGACAAAAGAATTTTTTTGTTGTGGTCCATTATTGCTATACTTTAAAGTTGAGTGAAGGAATCCGTATGCTTCAATCAAGTTAAATGCAAACTTGTAAATAATAAAGAATGTCGAGATTGAGGTTATGTTAGTGCAGCTCGGTCCCATCCCACACCGTTCGTTTATTTTTAGCGATCCATTTGCTTCATGTATCACGTGATCTTTGTGCTGCTCGATCTGTTCTACTCCGGGAACGAAAAAACGAACGCACCTTATGTAATTTTGTGTTAGTTAGTTGTGTAGTAGTTATATAATTAATTAAAAATGAGACGCTGAAGTTGTTTGGCAAAAAAATGTGATGAATGTGATGCAGTTTATAACCTTAAAAACAAGGACATTAAAACAGAAACGTTTTTCGTGTAAGTAAAGTCCTTCAATTTTCCCAAATACATCAAATGAAAATGTCGATAGTTTCTCCGACCAAGAACAAGTTGAAGAAATGACAGTAGATGAAAATGTACCTAAACACTTTTCCTGATCATCAAAATATGGACCTTAATCGTTGTGTAACACCCTCACCGTAATGTACTACACGTTATCTTGGAGATTGGTTAGACCTTAGACAAGGAAGGAATAGGTTAGACGCTGCAATAAACATGTACATTTGTTAAATAAAAGCTTATTCCACGATCTACTGGTATCATTATTCAAAAATTATATCTAAGTACTTCAAATTTATTTATTATATAAATTAATTCATCAAGTATAAAGGTAAACAGTTATCGTATAAATATATTGTGTGGAGATACTTGTCCTTGCAAATTTCATAGTTAGCGCCTCAGATTTAGTTCTCATTTTAGTCATACCCAGTGATGGCGCTGCAGATGTTAGCTTCAATTTTTATATTAAATATTATACGACGCTAGCAGTCCAGCTTTAAGTATGATTCACGTTAGACCGGGCCGTGTCCCGGTCGGATCACGGCACCGTGCCCCGGTCGGGCTGGACAGAGCTGCATGTTGCATCTACAGTATACGTTCTGATGTGATGCCGTGACAGCTTCAATGGAATTTTCGCAACTTGAGTTGGTAGCTATTGCAGTTGCACTTGATGACGAAGTGTTGGAAACAGATCGAAAATCAAAAAGAAGGTGGGGTGTGCATCCAGCCTGGAGAAAACGAGAAACGGAAGGAGAATTTTCCACGCTGTACAAAGAATTAATAGATGATGAATGCAAATTTTTCGGTTATTTTAGAATGACAAAAGAATGTTTCGGTGTATTTCATGAAAAGTTGCAATTTGACCTATCTAGACAAGATTCAAGATTTCACAAGCCTATCTCAAGCATGGAACGATTGGCAGTCTGCCTCAGGTACGTAATTCTATATTTTTGAAAAACTATATACAATACATTAACCGTTTACGTCGTTATGTTCTGAATATTGTGAGAAGTACGTAGACATGCTATTAGCGTCAGCATCTGATGTTGAAGGGGTTGGTTCTGGAGGCGTTGATGTTGGGATGGGGGTGTATACTGGAGTCTGTGGCGTGGATGTTCCACTCGCCGAAGATACGTAAGAAGAGGGTTGCACAGACATCTGGTCCCATTCCACCTCTTGCACTACAACAAATATCCTTCCCTTAGCCAGATGCTGATAATATGGCGCAAATTGTTTTATTGTGGCTGATATACCACTAAGAAAGGCATCTATAGGGTGAATTTGCTGAGTGTCTTGTTGTTCTTTCTTCTTTAATATATATTCCATTAGGGTATTTGATGCAGATGGTTGGGATTGTGGAGTGCGATGATAAATATTGATGATGATGAATGAATTGTCCAGTGGTCTGGGTTTTTGATACAGGATTAGTAGATGCAGATGGTGCATGCCTAGGATTCGGTTGCGAAGTAACTGATTGTTCTTTGTTCTTGTACCTGCTGTTGATCTGTATCCACCGTTTCCGTTTCATTGTACTCAGTAGCTTGTGTAGAGTCTTCCGCTTCTGCTTCTTTGTTCTGATCTGATTCGATACTTTTTATCGTAGGTCGATCCTCAACGTAAGGTAATAAAAAATTCAAACTCTCTTCATACTTATATTTTTTTTATAACAGTGGCTGCTTGTCCACTTGTTGTTTTACGTTTGTTTAAATGTTTTTTGTATTGATCTCTTACGTTTGCCCATCTTTTTTTTACATACATCTTCTGTAATAGAAATATTTTTGTTATAAATTACATTATGTACACAGTGTGGGATTTAAGAGGAAATATAGGTAGGTATGCAATTGAGTGTTTTTCCACTTCATAAGCTAATGAACTAATTTTTCTGTGTATTTGCAGGTTCTTAGCAACTGGTGATTCGTTCAAAACTATTTCGTATAGTTTTCGATTGGGTCACTCAACTGTAAGCGAAATTGTACACAGCACGTGTCGATCTATCGTCAAGAGATTAATGAAATAATATATACCAGAACCAACTGAGGAAGGGTGGAAACATATTGCACAAGATTTCGAAAGACTGTGGGGTTTTCCGAATTGCATAGGCGCGTTAGATGGGAAACATTGTGTTATTGAGACTCCTGCAAATAGTGGTTCGATTTATTATAATTACAAACACACGTTCTCAATTGTGTTGTTAGCATTAGTCGATGCAAACTATAAATTTGTTGCAGTTGATGTTGGCTCTTATGGGCGAAATAGTGATGGAGGAATTTTTGCAAATTCTACTCTAGGAAGGCGCTTAGAAAATGGCACGCTTAATGTACCTACTGGCAAAAATTTACCTAATTCTGAAATTTTTGCACCGTATGTTATAGTTGGCGATGAGGCATTTCCTCTCAAACCGTATTTAATGAGGCCGTATCCAGGACATCAATCGACAGGAGATGATGATAAAACAAATTTCAATCTCAAGCTTTCACTAGCACGACGACTTGTCGAAAATGCGTTCGGCATTTTAACGCAAAGATTTCGAATTTATTGCAGAAGAATAAAACTGGCTCCGAAAAACGTGGATTATGTTATTTTATCTACTTGCATTATCCATAATTTTCTATGCGAACGAAAAGATTACACAGGACTTACCAAGAATATTGACATACAACATTTATCGCAACATGTATTGAATTCATTAAGCAATCAAGCCGGAAGACCTGCTAACGATGCACTTGCCGTAAGGGAAATTTTTAAAGAATATTTCGCAAACACATAATATGAAATAACATTTTTGTAAGGTGAAACAATATGGCGCGGATGATGTTATTTGATCGAGTCAAAATAGTCTATTAGTGGTTACGTCATAATAGTACGCGAAATTCGAATTGCAGGACTTGGCTGTTTTACTGTCGTATTGACCCCTATCGCCCTACTCAATTAAGGATCTTTATGGGCTTATACTGACCTTATGCGAATTAAATAAGCACATCGGCCACCATATATCGAAACACTGACTACTTAAGTTTAAAAGAGAGCAATAAACGTTAAATGAAATCCATTAATTGTGTTATAATTAAAAATTAAAGATAAGTCTACCATATTTACACTTTACCGTTGGCAATATGGAATGATCATGACTTTGTTTTTGTGTTTACATTTTCCCACTTGCTAGACTTGGTCGTTTAGACGTTTACTTGCCTTTAAAGTGTGTTTTTGAATTTGTTTTAAGTAGTTTTCAATAGTCCTAGGTGTTTTTTTTATTATATGTTTACATTAGAAAATGTAAGCATAGTGAATACGGAATAAGATAGGTTATGACTGTTCCTTCCTGCCAATCGTAAAGTGTAAATATGGTATTTTTTTTATAAACATATTTTTAGTTTTTAATTAAAACGCAATTGATGGATTTTAATTAAAAATTATTGCTCTGTTTTAAAGTTAAGTAATCAGTCTTTCGATATAAGAGGGTCGATATGCTTATTTAATGCGCATAAGGTCAGTATAAGCCCGTAAAGAGCACCTATTTAAAAGTGATGCTTAATGTATGGGGCGATAGGGGTCAATATCTTCGACAGTAAAACAGCAAAGTCCTGCAATTTGAATTTCCCGCTCAAATTTGACGTCACACTAATAGAGTCTATAGAATATTGTAAGTTACCTTGTTTACGTGTCTAATATACATAAGTTTTTGCTTACCTGTTTGCTTCATTTCCACCGCTATTGTCCTCCAAATTGTCTGTTTGTGTTTATGGTCCAAATATTTTGGAAGAGTGTTATGTTGGTACCAATAGTCGAATGCGGCCCAATACATGTCACCGCAGCAAACGGCTTACCCGGATTGTTTTGGAGCGTATGTACTTAAAATATAATGTAATCCTAATACTATTTTATGTACAGTGTTTTAGTAACGTAATAAAATAAATTCAATATAAGGAACCCGTGCATTACTCGCATACACAACAAAATTGGCGACGAGGATGGGATGAGGTTAGGAAATCACGTGGGAAAATGGAATATACGCCGACACGCCCGAAGTCCTAACAATTCGCAGGAATTACACAAATCACTGGTCTTACACTGGTTGGATACCTAATTACATCTACAAATACGGAAAATTCACGCTGATATATCCTTAAATCGACTTAATTACGAGTTTACGTGCTTACATACGAAATGACGGAACACATACAACCCCTTCTGCAATCCATGACCGAGATTTTGACAAAAATTCAGGAAACGCAAGCTCAAATGGTTACCTTAGGCCGAACCAATTCGACTACAATTTCGGTGAAGGAAAACTTGCA